CCTTCCCACAGAGCCAACAGGGAAGCCCTGTGCTGAATTTTTTATAACAGCTTTATTGAACTATATTATAATCCCACACCATACAAATCATCCATTTTAAACTGCATAATTCAATGTTTTTTAGTACTGATACACTTACAGATATGTGTAGCTATCACCTTAATCAATTTTAAAACATTTTCATCACCCCCAAAAGAAACCCTATATGAACCAGCAGTCACTCCCCACTTCTCCACAGTCGTAGGCAACCCCTTTCTGTCTCTATAGATATGCCTGTTCTGAGCACTTCATATAAATGGAGTCATACACAGCATGGCCTTTTGTGACCACTTTCACTCAGAGTACTGTTTCAGGACTCAGCCCTGTTGTAACACACATAGTACTTTTTATCATCCCATAATCCTCCATTGCATGGATATAAAACATCTTTTATCCATTCATCTGTTGATGAACAAATACTTGGGTTGTTTGGACTTTTTGGCTATTATGAATAATGCTGCTATGAACATTTATATACAGGTTTTTGAATGAGTTTTCTGTTGTTTCCATCGCAAAGTTGTTTTCAGCTCTCTTGCAACCCCATGGACTGTAGCCCACCAGGCTCTTCTGTCCATGGGATTTCCCAGGTAAGAATATTGGAGTGGGTTGCCATTTCCTTCTCCAGGGGATCTTCCCGACCCAGGAATCAAACTCATGTCTCCTGTTTAGTAGGTGGATTCCTTACCACTGTGCCACTTGGGAAGTCCTTTTGTATGAGTATGTTTTCAATTTTATTGAACATATTGAATTTTGGGGTTACAGTAATTCTATGTTTAATTTCTTTTCAACTGAAGTATAGCGTGGTACGGTGGTAAAGAGTCTGCCTGCCAGTGTAGGAGATGCAGGAGATACATGTTCTGTCCCTGGGTCAGGAAGATCCTCTAGAGTAGGAAATGGCAACCCACCCCAGTATTCTTGCCTGAAAAATTCCATGGTGAGAGGAGCTTGACAGGATACCGTCCATGGAGTCCCAAAGAGTCAGGCATGACTGAGCAGGCACACACGTAACTGATTTACAATGTGTTAATTTCTGTCATATAGCAAAGGGACTTAGTTATATATACACTTCCTTTTAAATATGCTTTTCCAATGACTTATCATAGGAATGTGTTAACTTTTTAAGCAACTGCCGTCGTGTTTTCATCAGTGGCTGTACCATTTTACGTTCCCACCAGCAAGGCACAGGGTTCCAATCTCTCCATATCTTTGTCAACACTTGCCACCATCAGATTTTTTTATGATGGCCTTCCTAGCGGGTGTGAAGTGGTATCTCATTGTGGCTTTGACTTCCATTTCCTAATGACTAATGCTGGTTGAAATCAACTCATTTATGTGCTCATTGGCTTTGTACATCTTCTTTGGAGAAATGTACAGTCAGATCCTTTGCTTGTTTTTCAATTATTATCTTTTATTGCATTGTAAGAGTTCTTTAGAAGTCCCTTATTAAACATATGATACACAAATATTCTCCTCCATTCTGTGTGTAGTCTTTTCACTTGCTTGATGGGGTCCTTTAAAACACAGGGTTGTTAATTCTGAAGAAATTCAGTTTATTTCTTCTTTTGTGGTTTGTGCTTTTGGTATCAGTATCTAAGAAATGATCACCTACTACAAAATCATCAAGAGATGATATATGCCTATGTTTTCTTCCAAGATAATTATGAATCTTGTACTGTGTTCTTGAACTGCTTAACTGAGAAAGTGAATGTGAGAGCAATGCTGTGACTTGTATTAAATATGTCCATCTGACAATTCTCAGATGACTTCTTCCTGAAGAGCTATCACATGATAAGCATAATCATAAAGGTGAAATAAATTCAATTAGGAATAAAATATTAGGGCAATGAAACAAGAGTTTCCAAAGTGATTGAATGTTCGCCACAGGATCAATTTTACTTAGACGTATCATGTGAATTTTTAATTCTTTCTACCAGAACTTCTAATTGTTCAGTTATTACCAGAATTTCTCCATGGCTCCAAGAATATCAAAACAAATGGAATTTTCTTATCTAAAATGTCATTTTAATGGTTTCTTAAATTATTTGGATAGAAGGTAAACAATTTTTGCAGTTGTTCCTTTTCTATCATTTCTTTTTGGAGGATGTTAGCTGCAGATATAAGCAAGTTTGTTTCACTTGGGGACTTCTCTGGTGGCCCAGAGGCTAGGACTCTGAGCTCCCAATATAGGGGGCCTGGGTTCAATCCCTGGTCAGGGAAATATATCCCACAAACTTCAACTAAGATTTGTTGCAGCCAAATAAATAAATATAAATAAGTGTTTTAAAATTTTGTCTCACTTGTTTCTTTCTTTAAGGGAGTGGTAGAGTGGAGTCCACTCACAGCCCCACCCCAGAAGTGTAACTGTTTCAAGGCCAACCTGAAACCTTGAGTCAACTTCAGTTGGAAAAGCCAAATACCAAGGAGGTGCAGAGACTAACCATGGGATCAGAAAGACCTGCTGCCTATTCACCCTCCCTAACAGCTAGCCTTTATTTAAGAAATTCTGTTTCCAAAGTTCAGAGGGCTGATTTTTATAACTTAGGGGTTCTTTGCATCATCAACCTCACTAGGAAAGTGGAATAACTAGGAAGATACTGAGGCATGAGACAACAGCGGACAGAAGCAGAATGCAAGGTTACCTATTTTTCCATTTTTTAGGACTTTCCTTGAGAGATGCATCATTCCCACCAACTACTTGGGATTTGTTTTCTATCTTGATGTTTGATGTTCGACATTCAAAAAAACAAATTAGGACTGTGATTTATGTTTTAGAATTTATAGAATGACTGTGAGATCTTTCAGGTTCTCAAACAACTGATTACAAAACACGCCTCTAGGTGAACACCCCGCCCCTCCTCCAGTCACCATGGGAATCCCTTGTATGGCTTTCTACAGTTTCTAGAGATCGAGGCCAGGCTTCCTGCATCCAACGGCTTCCTCTCCGGTTGCCCTCCCCTGAGCCTGCCCACCCTTCGGGCAGCTGGGCACAGCAGACAGGTCAGTCCAGCCCGATGCCCGCCATCACGTCTTCTCTTCCACGCCCACTCCTCCCAAGGCCGTGATCAGGATCGCAGAGGACAGGGGTGATATGCAAGCTTGTCTTTGTTAATGCTGGTGGCACAGGAGTGGACCCTGATCTCTAAGGGCGACTGCGGACCACCCCCAGTCCCAGAGCTCCCCACCCTGATACGAAGCCAAACCAAACTGGGCTTCCAGATAAGGTGACAGGGAAGACATGCAGTCAGGGCAAAGCAGAAAGAGGCGCCTGGGGGCTGGGGCAACCCAGCTTCACAGATTCTGCACATGGGCAGGACACGGCTTTTAACTCTAAATATTGCAATCACAGTCACTTTGCCCAAATTTCCCATGCCAAGTATCTCATCCTCATTCTAATTTAAAGCAAGCTTCTAAGAGATCCAGATGAGAGACATAAAAATAATTCACTGGAGTGTGAATTTGGTGGTCATTTCAAGCTTCACAGGAACCAGCTATGGGGCCAGGGGTGGGGGTGAGGGGCCTGCCTCAATTGCTTTGGTTATACTGTTTATTTCCAGACACACCGTTCATGATGATGCTGAAAACCACATCCGGAGCTGTGAACCAACTGCTCCGCTATCCCAGAGGAAGAGCTGGGGAACTCGACATGGAAACCCTTGACAGGTAGCCTCAAAAAGCAGGGTGAAGGTCCACGGTTTTTATTTAGCTGACCTATTCATGACTAACAGTCATGACAGCATGTTACAGCAGAGCCTGTTGACTTGTCTGTGGATGTACCAACATGCAGAGGGAGGGCGGGCGCTTCAAGTCCATCACGAGAGGCATGAGTTTTGTTCCAGGAATATGTTTATTAAAATCTGGACAAAGCAGTCCTCTGCCAGGCATTTTCCCATGTGATACAGACACCTCCCCCACCACTCTCCAACATTCACTCCAACCTCCAGTCACAGAAGAGGCAGAGGGTGGTACATGTCATTGATTATAAAAATCTATGTATGCTCTGAAATTTAAACAACTTCTTTAATGTGCTTTAGATATTTCTAATGAATGCCATGGCTCGTCAGTCGGCTAGTACGCCAATGGACAATCATCGCTAACTATGATGTACTTCAAGTCTATAAATTCATCTCTCAAGTTTCTTGAGAGGGAAAAAAAAAAGCACAGGTTAGAGAATAAACAAGAATAGGATGGTTGAATCAGAGTCACACCAGAGTTCCCCATGGCCTGTCACCAGAGCTAAATTTCTTAAAAAATCAAGACCCCGAATGTCCCATGATCTCAAGTGTGTGTTTGTACAAATTAGTGAATCACTAGTTCAAGACATTTTAAAATTATCTGGGACCTCTTTGACCCACATGTTATTTTGCAGTGTGTTGTTCCACCTGCAAGTATTTTTATATTTTCAGCTTTTTTTTTTTTTTTTAATTACCGCCTAGCTTCATTGATTCACAGTCTGAGAAAATGCTTTGTATGATTCTCTTAAATTTGAATTGTGACCCACAATGTTGTCTACCTCAATCAAAGTTTCGTCTGAGCTTAAAAGTGTTCATTTTGATGTAGTAGAAGAAAATATTCTATAAATGCTGGTTAGATCCCTCCCCCAAAAAAAGCCAGATTAGGGAATCAAGATTTCCTTATGGGGGCACGAAAGCAGTTTTCACTTCTGAAGGAGAGTCTGTAAAACCTGAGAAACTGTCAGCTGAGGATCTCTGTGCAATCAGAAGCTTTGTGCAAACTGTTTAAGCTCAGAGATGGGACAGCGGCAATGTTGTCTCATGGTTCTCAGGCTTCTTGTTGACACTGCTGGTGTTTTTAATCCAAGATGAGATAGAGCATCTTTTCTAGGTCTCGCAGGCCACTTTCTCTTTTTATTTTCTATTCGGTTGTTTTTTGTAGAAAAATTATTAGAAATCTTTAAGCTATTATTTCTGGGCCTTCCTTAGTTTCCTTAAAAAAAAAAAAACTATTCAGGTGAAGGGTTCTGTCAGTCAAAGTTAAGAGTGGTGGCTTCTTTCTCCCCGGACCAAAGCAGTCTTTTCTTCCACTGGCTTCTGAGAATGCGTTTAGTTTTCTGAAGTATAGAGGTGATACATCAGGGCTACAACCAGTGCCGAGATAGCTGGGATCAGCCAGTTGGTCCACCAGCTGGAAAGAAAGAGCAATGACGCTTGCATGATGTTCCACGCAGCATACTCAAAACTCTGCTCTGTCTCCTTACCATGACAGTCACCATGGAAATGTTCTGTTACCCCTCTAACCTTTCTGGATGAAAAGCTCACTCTAAATTGCTAAAAGGGACATGAGTACAACACATGTCCTGGTATAACGGCCACTGCTCCACCCTTCCAGCCTTATAAGAAAATGAATGCCCTCCCAGTCCCACTTAGATCTATTTCTATGAATTCATACAAACAGCTGTGTATCACTCCCTCAACAGATGCCAAGCACTAGTGACTTATCGAAAGGACATCAATTCTGGGTTTCATATCACAAGTTCAGAAAAGTAAACAGGTATTGATCTAGGTATGTCCATAGGTTAACAATGGCACTGAACTGCAAAGCAGAAGACCAGGTTTCTCATTTAGTGAAAGCCATCAGCAGGCTCCATAGCCAAGGGCAAATCGCGTGCCCCGAGCTGCAAAGCTGAGGGATGTGAAGCACACGGTTACTGAGGCTGCCACCAGCACCACAGCGCAACATGCTGTGATTCTAGTTAGAAAATCTAATCGCTACTTGTGTGCAGTAGGTTTAACGTGTTAAGAAAAAGCATGCCCAAATGATTGAATCTGCGGTCCATAGCTGTGAATTCACAAAAATCCCTAATTCATATACTGTTCAGTCCCGATATACTGATCTACTATAAATGACAGATTAATCAGGGGCAGGGCTGGAAAGATCATGAATACAGATGTGAACTTATAATTTCTTAGAAAACAGAAATAATGTATGGGTTTTAGAATCTGGAGAAAGAGCAGGTAACAGCTGACACACACGCCATGGTTTTTGTCACAAACTTCCTGTCCTTTAATACGCCTCACGAAGACCAAGTTCGAAATCAAGATTCAAATTGCAAAAGGATTATGAGTGTAATTTGGCAGGTTTTCAGTTTCCATTTAGGAGGAGACGGACATTCAGGGTAAAGCAGGAGGAAGTACTGCGGGGAATGTACCAGAATATGATAGACTGGGGACAGCAAACTTCGACAGGGTGGAATGTAACAGGCAGGAGTGTGTGGCTTCAAGCTTGGGTCCAAAAAATTGTATTTGATGGCAGTCTAAGGATGGTAGAACTGCCAAAAATGTCAGGATGATCTTGTGCATGCTAGGTCGCACCTGACTCAGTGACCCAGTGGACTGCAGTGGGTTACGATTTCCTCCTCCAGGGGATCTTACTGACCCAGGGATTGAACTTGAATCTCCTGCTTTGGGAGGCAGATTCTTTGCCACTGGGCCACTTGGGAGCTATCAATATGATCTTAAACTATGAAGAAATCAAGTGCCTAGAACAAGTGACTCAAGATATACTTGGATCACTGGGTTCAATTTCAGGACAGACTAGAAAAGGGACAAGGAAAAACCGAACCATGCTTAAGGAGATATAATCATGACAATTTAAGAAACTGGCCACATATCAAATGAGGAAGGAGATGGAATATTCGCCTCAAGATAAAAAGTTGTTCAGCCCACAGTGGGGAGGAGGAGCCTCCATTTGCTCTGTTCCTCCAGGTAGGTGTGGCAGCAGCCTGAGATGGGGGGTTGTCTGAAATGCCTGAGCCATTTGACAGTTTAGGAAGGCAGGCAGGCCCTGGGTAGTCTGGGTGCTAAGTGGAGAGGACCCCGACCTGTCCACAGAGAGGAGCATGGTGGGAGCCCGAGCAACAGAGATGCCTTGGATATGGGGAAAGACCCCCCAGTCCAACTCTGATTCTAGGAGCCTTGTGATCAGTCATACTTTTAAAGAAAACTACCACATACCTGGGATTAGAATCAATGGTAGTAATAATACTTTCCTGAAACACAAGAAAAAGTAAGTTAAAGGGAACATCTGAACGTTCATTCAATTGACTATAACCTGCTTTAAAACAAAACCACAACAGTTTATTCAATTCATTCTTCTTATTCAATGCATTCTTCAAACAAAAAAAAAAGTCTGAAGGAAAAATGACATCATAAGCTTCACTTATATACCCAAACTCACCATTTTCTCAGAAGAAAAAAATTTTAAGAAGGATCTCTATTTAAATTACTTACGAACATAACCTGAAAATTTGCAAGAAAATCTTAAAAATTAATAGGATACCTAATTCTGTACATGACAGACATTTATGCTTAATGCATAAATAATAAATTTATGACAGACATAAATGCTTAATGTAGAAACTGAACACAGGTATCATTTATAAATACAAAAAATGTATCATCATCTTTAAGGAGACCAGTTTCATTCTTCAAAAGGAATGAAATGTTCAACAAAACATCAGTATTTCATCAAATCTCATAGAAGTAAAAGTGTACCCAGATTATATTTAAAAAATGAGTCAACCAAAAAAAAGAAGCGGCATTTAAACTGTAACAGTCTGGACCACCTTTCCTGGTCTTCCTTACCTCTGGCAGGGTTTTTATTTTAAACAAAAACTGGCAGCCTCACAGGCTGACATCACACCATCACCCACCAAGAAATCCTCAAATGCCAGGGGCTTTCACGGCTATCTCCTGGTTTACCTTCCAACACCTTCTGAGAAAGGTCCTTCTTATCAGTACCATGAAAATGAACTACAGATGGTTCTGGGAAGACAGTCTGCCCCAAACAATGGGGTAACCAAGGCCAAGTAGGATGTAAGCTTTTTCGGGATTGAAAAGTTGTTAAGAAGCACTCTCGAAGCTCCACACCAGCAAGAGCATTAGTGCCTCACAGGAAGGTAGACGGAAATAATGCAGCTGAAGTTTCCCAAAGCACAAAATAAAAAAGCATTAGCAAATGCTCAATGATCTGCAGCAAGGCAATGCTACACACAGCAAAGCGCGTTAAAGACATTCCCGTAAAAAGGCTGAAAGCTTCCACGGGAAAATCAGGCAAAGCAGTTATGACACCCACCAACCTGGAGACATGGCCTTTAAGATTCCTGACACAGGAGGAGGGAAAAACACAGTCATTCAAAAAGAAAACTTCACAGTCATTATCTTTTGAAGCAACATTAAATCTCAGAGACTACAAAAGTATTCATAACTACTGCAAGATTAGTTTTCACATTTTGTATAGGCAAATAAAATGAACAAGGATTACAAGAGGTAACTGGACAGTGTGAAAATATTATTTAGCTATTAGAGACATTTAAAGACATAATCAGTTCTGAAACAAATGCAACAGTCTATTTAAGGTGAAGTGTTATCAGCACACTAGAAAGCTAAGCCTGAAACAGTGAACAGAGGTTATTTTGTCACACCCAGCACATGCATTGCACCAAATGTGCTAACAACTCTGCATGGAAACTCGCTGGCCTGCCTTCCTCCACCTTCGTTGGTACCATGAGTGGAATGCACCACTAGGGTGTGGTCACCACCAGCAACAAAGATCCTCTAAAGAGCTGCACTGTAAAAGACAATACACATTTTTTGATTGCTTATTATCTGTTAGATAATAACCCAGGGATGCTTCAGCGTTAAGACAAGTTTGAATTACCACTCAGCACTGGGCCCCAGTTGGGTTTTGGTATGCAACTGACAAATCTATCAAGGAAGACGGGGAAAGACTTCGGTCTTTATTACAGGCTGTGCCTCCTGTTCACACAGTGAACTTGAGGGGTTCAGCTTCAGGTAGGAAAAGGTGAGCAATGAAATCAACATGGATAAGCTCTCATGCAAAGCCCATGCAAATCATTTATAAGTTCATCTGACTAAGCCCATTCCTTCACCAGAAGGCTTCCCTAAAAATACTGCTGATGGAGCGATGCTTTTATGCAGAGGTCAGAGGTTACAGAGGCCTGAGAGACTCGCAAGCACTACACCTTAAATGAGTGGTTAAACCACAGCAGTGGTTCTGCTGTGTGTGACCTTGACAAAGTCAAAGCTTGGAACAAGGTTGACTTTCATTCTTTACACTTTCTCTGGTAGGTCCAGGAGCTCCCTATGATACCTTGAGAATCAAATCAGCTCACGTATGTAGCAAAGCTTCTAAGATAGCAACCACAGAAACCTATCAGTAGGTACTGCCATTACTGATATCCTCCATGTCAAATTGATAGATCTGGATTTGCTCACTTAAAACTGCACTGTCTCTGTATTTATTAATACAAATACCTTAACGTGGCAACTCAATCTATTTCCCTTTGGCAGGTTCAAGCTAATACTCTGGTGCATCTTGTTTCACAATTCAAACAGTTTAAGCAGGCAACATTTCAAAAATTCAGACCACAATGTATGTTTATCAACCTGGAAACAGATGGATAGTTATACAGACACAACAAAGAACTCTCTTCTTCTGGTAAGCTAGAAACACAAGAAAGATAAATCCAGAAAAGTGTCCATGTGTTTGCTTCTGGCCTTGAAAACCAGCAAGTTCCAGCCCCGCATTCCCCCAGTTCTGCTCTGCAGTAAGCAAAGCCATCCATGTATGTTCTACAGGAGGAAAGAGTGTGTCTCTCGGGAGTAAAGCGATTATGTAGGAGACCTTAGCTCTGACTGGTGCTTTCTGCTGGCAGGAATCATGGTTCAGGACACAGTTGGATCTATGTCAGTTCTAAGTTCAGGTGATGAGCCTTATCAAATCCTCATTTTACTATAGCTGAACAATATGTGCCAAGATAACATACTGAACACCTAACAGGAGAAACTACACTTCTTCCCTTGAAGAAAAAGCAAAAGACTTCAAGCCCCACAGAATTTCAGCAATCCAAAAGGGAGCCTCAAAGAAGGTACTAGGTCATACAAATGAGCTGATCAGTTCAGAGAGAAGGGCAGGTGAACCTGGGCATAAAATGAACATTACTGGGATTATTTTCTTTTCCTAAGGAAAAATGCATCAAAATGTTATTTAATTAGCATTAAATTCAACCAGTAAATATTTATTGAACACCTACTATGTCCCAGAGATGTGGAGATGAAGAAGACATCGACAGACACCTTAAAGTTAAACCTTAAGTATGAAGACTCTACTGAGATTTTAAGTTCTCCGAAAAAAAGACTTACGTCAAATGTTTCAGTTCAGAAGCACAAGGCTACTTATGTAAATAAAAAGCAGAAGTAGCCCTTCAAAAGGTATCTGCTGGTAATGATGATGGAAATGTTATTTTAAGTATTGACAGTCTTACGAGGAGAATATAAAGCTATCCTAATAAAATATACTGATGGATCTAAACAGATAAAAAATTTTGCTGAGGCAACAGGGTACATAGTCATCTAACCTAGAAAGACCTGTGCTGGTCTCAGGTAAGTAAATGACCTTTGCCCTCCAGTTTGACAGGTATGAAATACAGAGAAGGTAATGTAGCCACTGAAGACACCACAGATGGTCACACGTACCGCAGGCTTGGTTATCTTTGCTCTGTCATCCTGCAATAAAAAAATAAAGCCTATTATGAAAGGAAAAACATATACAAAACTACCATTTCTGAAGAGTTCGCTTTTACTGACATTTAAAAAACTGCTACTCAATAATTAGCATTTTAGGTTCTACCCGTTATTAAATACCCAGTTTGATCCATCCAAGGGCAACAATTTAAAGTGCTGAGACGTATTGTAATCTAGAGTTCCAAAATTTAAAATAGCATTTGTGATAGTCATATTTATATGCTGATCTGTATATACATTTATTAGATTCTGATCTGTAATTCAGGGAGCAGCTGAGATCTAATTAGATTTTTCCTTTCTGTCCTCTGAAACTCCCTTTCAGATGTGTGCATATACACGTGTGTGAGTGTGCAATATGTGTGGTATACTCAGTGAATTCCTGCAGTCTCTCAATTGTAGGGTCATAATCTACTCAAACCTCCATCTAAAACAAAGTGCATTAAAAGGGTGATTGGCTCAGTGGTAAAGAACCCGCCTGCCAATGCAGGAGATGAAGATTTGATCCCTGGGTCGGGAAGACACCTTGGGAAGGAAATTGCAGCCTGCTCCAGTATTCCTGCCTGGAAATCCCATGGACAGAAGAACCTGGTGGGCTGCGAGTCCACAGGGTCACAAAAGGCTGGACATCACTTAGCGACTCAACAACAAAGGCTGATCACAGGTGAGGCAAACTTGCTACAGCCACAGCCTGAAAACTCACCTGCTCCAACCCCACAAGAAGGGAAAGAATAAGGACAGGAGGGAACATTTAAAGGGCAGTCCTCTCTGATTACCATCAAACGACATCACTTCGGGAAAATATGAAGATAAAGATGAAAATATGTGGATGAATAAACTTTCCCGGGAAATGAAGCTGCCTTTCTCAAAGTACCATCTCCTACCACCCAAAACCCCACCTCCTCACTCAATGGAAACTGCTCTAAAACAGCTCCAGGCCTTCCCCAGAGAGCCTGCTTCAACCCTTCCTCACCCACGGCCATTACAAGAAGCAACAACCAGACACAACACACATTCTCACGGGGTGTTTTTTAGAGGGTTTCTCGGCGTGCTCACTGGGGTCGAGGCTCTTTGCTTTGTTATTTCCTCGTTGGGGCCCACTTCCAGCAGCACCTCCAGCCCTTCGGGTGGGCCACTGGTAACATGTCCAGAGACGGGCGAGGGGACAGGCAGGCGCTGGCTCGGAGGGGAGATCCACGCCCTCTCGGAGGTGCGGGGTCCCCGCCTGCCTGTTCCACACTCCAGGTCTGCACATCTCTAAAGTTCCTGGCAATGCTGGTTGATGGATGAGTGCAGTCACACGTGCACATTTCAAAATGCTGCACAAGGGCCTCAACTCCTATTACACCCCTGGGTTTACAGAAAAGCTGAAACAAGCCTCTGTTTTCCCAAAGTCAGTCCAAGGACTAGCACCAAGGGAGATGTTCTCAAAGGTCTCAGGTAGAGTCAGAAGGATGAGGACTGTGTGTGGGTTTTACAGAAGGCAGGGTTTATCCATTTAACAGCTGATCTTTTAAAAATTTCTAAATCACATTTTAGAATTAAAATATCCTCAAACTAACAAAAGTAGAAAGGAGTTTCTTTTTATATATTTATTCATTTTTCAAAATTTAATTTTTTCATTATTTTAAAAACTTTTATTTATTAAAAAATGTTTAAAAATAAATATAAAGAAAGAAAGAAAAAAGAAACAAGCTTCTTAAGAAAGATATTTTGGTCAAAAAAGAAAAAAAATTAAAAATAACACTACTCTGGGTCAACACCCCACCTTCTAAAATCTGCTGCTCAGGGGACTTCAGAGCCTGGGACTCACCGTCCCCAGGACCTGACCCTGGATGATAGGATTCTGAGTGCTCATGAAAAATGTAACCAGGGAGTGCTGGTCAGTTTATTTTTTGATGAAATGGTGTTCTACAGTCAGGAGGAATTGCTTTTTTGCTTTATTCCTTTTTACATTTTGTAATATGCAAGTCTACAGGTTTGAGTAAGGTCAAGCCGAAGGTCAAGCCATAGCCTTAAAGAGAAACGAGGCCCCCCAGAAGGAACTTACTGGGTGCAGCTCTCCAATGATAAACGTTTTGGACAATTCTCGCGCATCTGTAGAGTGTCCAACATCCTCAAAGTTTTCAGTAGCATCACCTCCAGCTTGTTCCCTTAAGACTTCCTCCCCACCAGGATGCTGTTTGAAGGAGAGAGAGAAAAATGAATATTTTTCTCCAGGCAAATGAGCTAAAAGGAAGTGGCTGGTTTACTTAACCAAAAAGGTTATTCTGGCAGTCATAGGTGATAGTGTGACAGTGTAACTTGTTCCTAAATGAAACAATTCCTTTGTATTCAATTTCCTACTTGAAAGTACAGAAAAACTTTCTCCAACAGTAAGATGTTCATTTCCCAGTTATTCATATAGAAATCAAAGCATTATGCACACATTTTTATCCTTTGAGAAGGTCCCCTTTGCTTTGCCATAAAACTCTTCTCAATCTTCAAAAGTGTTAGTTGCTCAGTTGTGTCTGACTCTTTGTGACCCCGTGAACTGTAGCCCGCCGGGTTCCTCTGTCCATGGCTTTCTCCAGGCAAGAATACTGGCATGGGTTGCCACTTCCTACTCCTAGGTATCTTCCCAACCCAGGGATCGAACCCAGGTCTCCTATATTGCAGGCAGACTCTCAATATTTACCCAATCTATTTTTAACTTATTCATATACCTTCACCTTTGACTTCTTTTGTCTAATTGTGGACTTACTACATCCAAGACAATTCACCTCTGAAAAGTGCTCTGTATGCCTGGCAAGTATAGCAACATCCAGTCAAGCAGAAGAGTCCCTGCCTCTGGACAAACTCACTTTCCAGAAGGAAGAAAAGGCAATGCAAACACGTGTAGGAGAGACCTGCTCCAGATGGTGCCAGGGGGACATGACTGAGAGGGAACAACAGGGGCAAAGAAGAAAGCCCAGTTCCACAGGGGGCAGGGCGGAAAGAGCCTCCTGTGGCATCTCAGCAGCCTGGCTGCTTTCCCTAGTGCAGCCCAGGATGGCCACCACGCAAGGACCGGGGACTGGCAGGGCAGCCGGGGACCGACACAGCTGAAGACGTCCAGAGACTCTCGGGCTGGGGAAGAGGGCGCTCAGACAAAGACAAGGAAGTGCTTGCTTACGTCATCCTAAACACTTCTGCAGGGGGAAAAAGCTTCTGAGATCAAATGCACCCTGCCCTGAGCCAGTCACTCACAAGTGCCCAGTTAGAGAACGGAGTGTTCTCCCCTACCTGACTGACTACAGGCTGTTCTTCATCTCTCCCACTAAGGGTGGGCACAGAGGCAGAAACACTGGACAAGGGTAGGCAGTCGCTGTGTTGTGAAACCTATGTCTCCTCCTACTGGTTAGACATATCTAGTGCTAAAGAAATTTACTTAATTTTTTCTCTACTACTTGTAAAAGCTATCCATCTACAGTATAGAAATACTGGAAAGCACAAGAAAGAAAATAAAAATTGCCTAAATCACCCATAATCTCACCATCCAGAGAAGACTGGATATACATATACATGTGCATGCATGCGTGCTAAGCCCATTCAGTCGTGTCCAACTCTGTGCAACGCCATGGACTGTAGCCCACCAGGCTCCTCTGACCATGGGATTCTCCAGGCAAGAATACTGGAGTGGGTTGCCATGCCCTCCTCCAGACATATACGTATATGTATGAATAATTTTTAAAAGAAAATCATGATCATTACCTAAGGCATACAGATTCATTAGATAAAAAAAGGAGACTATAATATTTACAGAGACAGTACTGCCTAGCATTACTATGTGAACTTGGGAAAATAGTGTACTTATCTCATATAATTTTTGAAAAATAAGCATGTTAATGTATGTGTTAATATAACCAATAAATATTATTTAGCATTTTTATTAAATACTTTGCAATGTCATTGACTATCTTTCCTTAATATGATTTTTTAAATGACTAATAACATTACATCTTGTATGCATTTCCACACTTATATAAGTCTTCCACTGGGACACAGGATACTAGAATCCACTCAAATGTGGGAAGCTGCCCTGGAGGGACAGGCTAGCTCAGTCTGAAAGCCAACCTGAAGCTCCCTCACGCAACTCCAAGGTTGTGACAGCAACAAATGCGGTTTGTTAATCATCAGTCTGTTTGTTCTTGGGCACAGCCTTAGAGGTACAGAAGCAATACTGTGGGAAACACAAAATGACTTTAGAAATTATGCAAATTCACAGACTGCTGTTTCCTCTGTGTAGGTGGCTTCACTCATGAGTTCCTTAACTTTTGGGTCCTGTTAAGGATATGGGAAGAACTGATGCTTTCAAACTGTGGTGCTGGAGAAGATTCTTGAGAGTCCCTTGGGCAGCAAGAAAATCAAACCATTCGATCCTAAAGGAAATAAACCTTGAATATTCACTGGAAGGACCGATGTTGAAGCTGAAACTCCAATCCTTTGGTCATATGATACAAAGAGCTGACTCACTGGAAAAGATCCTGATGCTGGGAAAGATTGAAGGCAGGAGAAGGGGACGAGAGAGGATGGGATGGTTGGATGGCATCACCAACTCGATGGACATGAGTTTGAGCAAGCCCTGGGAGATAGTGAAGGACAGGGAAGCCTGGCATGCTGCAGTCCATGGGGTTGCAAAGAGCTGGACACGACTTAATGACTGAACAAACAAAAATTAATTCAGGTGGTGCAGTAGTAAAGAATCTGCCTGCTAATGCAAGTGACATGGGTTTAATCCCTGGGTTGGGACAATCCCCTGGAGAAGGAAATGATGGCCCACTTCAGTTCTCTTGCCTTGGAAATCCCATGGACAGAGCAGCCTGGCAGGCCACAGCCCATGGGGTCACAAGGAGTTGGACATGACTGAGCACATGACACCAAGTTAACTGACTCCACACACATACTGAGTGTCTCCACGTGCAGACACCAAGGCATGCCAGACGCCACAGTGAGCAAAGGAGACCAGGTTCAGGGGGAGGCACCTCCCCCCACCCCCACACTCACTGTGTCCACACATCTGGAAGCCAGTAACTCCGCATCTCCTTCTGTGAAGTCACTACTTATTATCAGGTCACCAGGTACCACTGTGCACCGATAACATAGGAGAATCTCCAGATACAAACCAGGCAATACCAATAAAATAACCAGAACAGCTTTCGTTTTTGGCACCCTTTTTGTCTTTAAGAACTATTTTCCGGGAAATAAATACAAAATAGACTTTAAAAGATGAAAGACCGGCATAGTCCATAATTCAGAAAATGTCAATCATCACATTGGGCTTCTCTGGTGGCTCAGAGGTTAAAGTGTCTGCCTGCAATGCAAGAGACCTGGGTTCGATCCCTGGGTCAGGAAGATCCCCTGGAGAAGGAAATGGCAACCCACTCAAGTATTCTGGCCTGGAGAATTCCATGGACAGAGGAGCCTGGTGGGCTATAGTCCACAGGGTCGCAAAGAGTCAGACATGACTGAGAGACTTTACTTTCACTTTCAATCATCACAACCCTTACCCGTTCCTAAGGACACTTTCACAGAGACAAGGTGAATTCTTGTGGGATAAACAGGCACTGAAATCACAACTGGCCTCCTACCACTCGCAGCATCAATGCTTCTGGAGACGCTGGCAGTGGATCTCTGCTCCTTGAAATGCTTTCTTAACATGGCTTCCAGTACAAGAGGCTCTCCCAGTTTCCCTCCAACCCCGCGGGCCACTCCTGACCTTCTCGGAGTCTCAGCCCCAGCACTCAGTCCTTGGCGCTCTCCCATCCTACCTGGACCTGCTCCCCTGGGGATCATACCTGGTCTCCCACACAGAATATCACCTGTTCTCTAGTTACATGCAGTTCATCAGGCTGATCCTGAGCCCAGACTCCTCCCACCTGCAACAGCCTACTTGCCCACACACGCAACATCTAGGGAGCATCCTGAACATAACATAACCCAAGCTTAATGCTGTCCTTTGCCCCCAGTAAACAGTCTTTATTCTCAGCGATGGCTGCCACCCTGCATCAGTTGCTCAGACACGTCTGACTCTCTGTGACCCCATGGATGGCAGCTCGCCAAGCTCCTCTGTCCATGGGATTTCTCAGGCAAGAACACTGGAGTGGGTTACCATTTCCTCCTCCAGGGGATCTTCCTGACTCAGGGATCAAACCCAGGTCTCCTGCATTGGCAGGAGGGTTGTTTATCATTGAGCCACTTGGGAAGCCCTTGTATTTGGTGACGGCGGCCAAGAACTAGAAATCAAACTTCATTCCTCTTTCCTTTTCATCCCCATCATCAGCAAATTTGCTTGGCTACCTTCAAAACATATTGAAAATCTAAACTCCCCTCCCCACTTCCACCGCTACCACCACAGATCAGAGCACCAGCAGCCCCTGAACAGACGACCACAACTGTGCCCTGCCTGGCCCGCTGCTGCGTCTCGATCATCTCAGGTCACTCTCCTGACACCCTCACGCCATGAGGATGCTCAGATGTCAGCTAAGTCCAGGGGAGCTGGCCAGAGTGGAAGCAAGAGAGCAACAGGTAAAGTAGAAGAGGCAGGCAGACACCTTAGTGATGAACTGAGGATGCCGCCCGCCACTGCGCAGAGCCACATCTTCCCTCACCCTCCAAGGGCCGCACCTGAGTCCCAGCCACACGGCCTGAGGGCCGGCTCACAGACTTGCTAAGACGGCTCTCCGTCTCAAAAACTCAAAGCCGCCTCCTGTGGAATGCTAATCTCCCAGACCTTGATGAGATTCCTTTATCTCTGCTCACGTCAGCCTTCCACAGACCTTCACCGAGCTGCCCATCCAGTCTGCCCTGTCCCCCCAGCAGAGGGCTACCAGGCCCTCCCTGTCCCCCCACACTGTGGCCCCCACCC